ATCAAAATCAAACGTAAAAAAAAAAAAAAAGCTTGGCCGAGTCGATCATATATTTAGGATGGCCGCACTTCAACATTTCAAAATAAAATTAAATCGCTTAGAATGCATATTTAGAACCTAAAATATTAAAGCAAACGTAAAAAAGAAAAAAAAAATTAGTTTAGCGGTTTAGCCGAGCCGAGACTAAAAATCTATCTGCTCGGTTTGGAAACGCAAAAAAAAAAAAAAAATCCTAGTCGAGCCGACGGCTTATGAATAGTGCTTATGAATAGTGCTTCAATTCTTCACTCTTTTATTTAAGTAGGACACATTTACATAATAAAATATTTTACACATAAATTAATTTTTTTAACTACACATGTTCCAAAAATTACTATTTAGAACACCATCTTTACACAATAATGACCATCAAACAATGACTTTAAAAAAGCAGCTCTGTTGTGTACAGAAAAATATTGTCAAAATTTTCACGTAATACACATGACAGTTTTCTATTGGACAATGCAAAAAAATAAAAATAAATAAAAGACCAATCAGATGCCTCCATAGCAACATTTGGTGAAATTCTGGTAGCACTGCTTCTGTACAAGTAGAGAAATTCTTAAAAACGAAGCAAGTGTATAGTACAATACTTTGTCAATCTTTTGATGTGGAAATGTAATTTTTAAATATTTCTTGTAATCTTTTATGGTTATTTCACTATAATGCGTTTTTAATTGTTCAAGATGGAGCTAAAAGCTGTAATAAGAAAACCTAGTTTTTCTCCTCTTGGATCCCTAGTCTATAGAGGTGGCTGGAAATGGAGAAGGAACTGTCACTCATGTATGAACGATTGAAGCTAACTGTTGAAGAGAAACAAGAGGTGGATGTGGGCGAGGAAGATACTCTTTTATCTCTTGAGAAAAGTAAACAATGCATTGCCTTTAGTGTGATATCCGATCGCGAGGTCAACAGAGGAGCTCTGAAGAATACTATGATGAAAGTCTGGCAAGTGGAAGGGAAAGCAGCAATCAAAGAGGTTGGTTGGAACAAATTCTTGATAGAACTGAAAAGGGCTGATGACAAAAGGAGAATCATGAACGGAAGACCATGGTCTTTTGACAAACAATTGATCTGTGTCCAAGACTGTGAGGAAGCCATATCCATAAAAGATATTTTGTTTAATAAAGAAGCCTTTTGGGTCCAATGCCACGACCTGCCATTCGCAGGGATGAATCAAAAGACGGGACATGAAATTGGAGCACGCTTGGGAAAGGTACTCAGTGTCAACACGGATAGTAGTGGAGTTTGCATGGGTGAATTCTTACGGGTCAAGGTGCTCATCAATATTTCAAAGCCTATCTCTCGGGGAAGATTCCTCAACATCGGGGGGATAAAACATTGGATCCCGTTCAAATACGAAAGACTTCCAAAGTTTTGCTACCATTGTGGATTAATCAAACACCCTGTCGGACGGTGCGAAAAGAAAGAGGAAGGTTTAGCCATTGGAAATGGTTTTGATCAACAATATGGTGCATGGTTACGAGCAAGCGGGAAGAGACAAGAAGGCACCCACTCGCCGGTGGGTAGCCCCAAAGCTCAAGGAGACCGCCCGGAAAGTCACCGTCGGGAGAAATCTGGCCACACTCAACAAAGGGAAGCCTGGGAAGGAAACATCAATTGTGATGCGGATCTCACGGAATCAGGAGCTGATTCAGTGCCCATTTCCAAAAATATTAATGCTGAAATTAAGGAGGTGGAAGAGCCAAAAAAAGACGTGATTCTTGCTGCGGATTATGTGGAAGGTGATTTGTTTTCTAACAACCTCAATATGGAAGGAACAGTTGGCACTCAAGAGACGGGCACACGTGATGAACCATCAACGCATTCACTGGACTTTTCCCAAGGGTCAGCTAAACCAAATCTACAGTCCAGCCCACATAAACTAAAATTCAAAAAGGGCCTGGCCCAAGGAAAATCATGGAAACCAAGAGCCCGTATTACCCCATTTAAACCCACTTCCCAGTCCGCTGAAGGAGAAGAAACTATCGTTGTTCCCCTTAAGCGAAAGGAGATTGGGGCTGAAAAAGAGGTCAGGAAGAAGCACAGAAAGCTGATTGATGAGGAACCCGACTTGGATATGGCAGAGGCTGCCGAGCAGCCCTGCCAATCACCATGAAAATGCTATGTTGGAACTGCCGAGGGCTTGGGAACCCTCGGACAGTTCGAGAGCTTCACCAGACGGTGAAGGAGAAGTGCCCAAGTTTGGTCTTCCTCACCGAGACCAAACTCCTACGTAACAAAGTGGAGAAGGTGAGATTAAAGCTTAAATTTGATAATTGTTTTGTGGTGGATTGTGTGGGCAGAAGTGGCGGGTTGGCTATGCTTTGGCGAGATGAGGTCAAAGCTTCTCTGTTAAATTATTCGGGATCCCATATTTCTTTGAGTATTGGGAATGCTGGAGTTTGTTCCCCATGGATTTTGTCGGGTTTTTACGGTAATCCAATTCCAAAGAAAAGGCATGAAAGTTGGCAGTTAATGAGAATGATGAATCCGAATGGTCCGAATCCATGGATGATCATGGGGGATTTTAATGAAATCCTTTGTCCTGATGAGAAATATGGAGGCAACTCTAGGCCGTTTACCCAAATGGAGAATTTCTGCAAGGTGGTAGAAGAGTGTGATCTTAGAGACATGGGTTATGTTGGACAAAAATTCACCTAGAGCAATAAGAGGCAAGGGAAATCTTTCACCAAAGAGAGGCTGGACAGAGTCTTTACTAATCCCTTCTTCACAACCCTCTTTAGATGTTGTGAAGTGAAGGCGTTACCGATCGTCAACTCGGATCACAACCCGCTCTTAATAAATTGCAGTAACAATCATGCTAGAATGCAGCCCCCTCCGCCCAAGTTGTTCCGGTATGAAGCTGTTTGGTCAGGGAAGCAGGAAGGTCGAGACATAATTGAAAGTGTATGGCCAGCCCATGGAGAGCAGAATAATCCAGTAGGTTGTTTCAAGGCGAGCCTAGAGCGTTGCAGGGAAAAACTACAGAGATGGGCAAAAAGCAATGCAAGAGACACAAAGAAGAAATTAAGAACAAATTTGCAAAAGCTTAGATCACTGCAGGAATCCAACCAGGGGGACTTAAATGGAAGAATCACTGATGCTCAAAAACAAGTTAATGAGCTACTCGAAGAAGAGGAACTCAAGTGGAGGCAACGTTCCAAACAACTGTGGCTCAAATGCGGGGATAAGAACACATCTTATTTCCACAAATGTGCTACTCAAAGAAGGAAACAAAATACTATCAGGAGCATTTTAAATGAAAGGGGGGAAGTTTCCACCAAACAGGAGGAGATTTGCAACATTTTCCAAGTTTCCTTTCAACAGCTGTTCACAACTTCAAAACCAGTTGGCATTGAAGAAGCGATACAGGAACTAGAGGTTAAAGTAACCCTGGAAATGAATGCTCAGCTACAAGAAACGTGTACCAATGAGAAAGTGAAGCGAGCAGTTTTTGAAATGGATCCAATGAGTGCGCCTGGTCCTGATGGTTTCTCTGCAGGATTCTACCAAGATAATTGGGGTTCTATTGGAGAAAGATTATGTGCTGCAGTTAAAGATCTTATTGCTTCAAAACAAGGGTTCCATGAAATTAATGAAACGCATGTTGTATTGATTCCTAAGAAGAAATCCCCTGCTTCTGTCTCTGATTTTAGACCAATTAGTTTGTGTAATGTTTTCTATAAAGTGGTGTCGAAAGTTATGTCCAACAGGCTCAAATCATTTTTACCTGAAATTATTTCACCAGCTCAAAGCGCTTTTGTTCCAGGGCGCTTGATATCAGACAATATCATTGTGGCTTATGAAGCAATGCACTCTATGAAGTATCGGGTCAAAGGGAAGAAAGAAGGATACATGGCCTTAAAACTAGACATGAGCAAGGCGTATGACCGAATCGAGTGGAGTTTCCTAGAAGCTGTTTTGCGAAAATTTGGCTTTGGTGAGCGGTGGATAGAATTAATCATGCAATGTGTACAAACAGTGAAATATTCTCTAATCATCAATGGAGAGCCGCAAAGTCAATTCCACCCAACGAGAGGATTGAGGCAAGGGGACCCTCTATCTCCATACCTCTTCATTTTGTGCTCTGAAGTGCTTGGCAATTTACTAGACAAGGCAGAGGCTAAAGGATTAATATCTGGATTCCCATTTGCTAGGGGTAATCTCCTAGTGAACCATCTTTTCTTTGCAGACGATAGCCTGATCTTTTGCAAGGCTAATGCACTAGAATGTTGGCGCCTCTCCTACATACTGAATTTATTTGAACACGCATCTGGGCAACGGCTTAATTTAGACAAGACTTCAATTTATTTCAGTGAAAACACCAAAGTAGAGATCAAGGAGACAGTTCTACACGCAGCCACAGTTAGAGAAACGAAGTCCTTTGAGAAGTACCTAGGCCTGCCAGCTTATGTTGGAAGGAATAAAATGACATCCTTCAAACTGATACTTGATTCGATCAGAAGCAGAATGAGTAGCTGGACTGTAAAGTTTATGTCGCAAGCAGGTAAAGAAGTTCTCCTCAAGTCTATTATCCAAGCCATTCCAACTTACTGCATGGGTATTTTCAAGCTTCCACGAACCATCCTTCTGGCTATAAATCGACATGTTAAAAAGTTTTGGTGGGGTAGTAGAGGAGATAAAACCAAAACACAATGGCTCTCTTGGAACCTGTTGGGGAAGTCTAAAAATGCTGGTGGTCTTGGCTATAGAGATTTTGAACTCTTCAATGTTGTTTTATTAGCAAAACAGGGATGGCGTCTTATCCATGCTCCTAACTCTCTGGCTGCAATGGTGCTTAAAGCGAAATACTACAGTAGAACAGATTTCTTGAGTAGCAAAATTGGTAGCAATGCTTCCTTCCTTTGGAAGAGCTTTTCAGAAGGAAAAGAACTGTTAAGAGAAGGACTATTTGGCGCATAGGAAACAGAGATTCTGTGGTTATTGGTAAGGACAAATGGATTCCCCAAGCTTCTACTTTCAAAGTTCAATCCCCCATACAAGCCAGATTCCAAAACGGCAGAGTAAGTGAGCTCATCGTTGCAGAAACGAAATCTTGGAATACAAAACTTATATCTGAAATCTTTTCTGAGTCTGAAGCTAGCCTTATTAGCAAGATCCCTATTAGTCCATGTGGAAGTTCGGACAAACTGATATGGCGAGGTACGAAGGATGGCAAATTCACAGTAAAAAGTGCATACCACTTCATCAGTCANGGAATTACAGATTTTGGTCTAACACAAGATCCCTATTAGTCCATGTGGAAGTCCGGACAAACCGATATGGCGAGGTACGAAGGATGGCAAATTCACAGTAAAAAGTGCATACCACTTCATCAGTCAGTTGAAACAAGATTTATTGGGACAATGCTCGACAAGCAACTATCAGAATGAAATTTGGCGGAACATTTGGAGGTTAAAGGTAACAAATGCTAACAAAATGTTCCTGTGGCGTGCAACACATGAATCCCTACCAACAAATATGAACTTGAATAGAAGGAAAATAAGGGAGTGCCCCTTATGCCCGATTTGTTTGAGGGAAGCGGAGTCCGTAGTTCATATTCTGTGGTTATGTACATCGACTCAAGATGTTTTGGGTTCTTGCTCACGGAAGATCCAGAAGATGTCTTTTCTGCCGCTGAATTTCAAGGATCTGTTGTGCCATTTACTCAATAGACTGTCAGAAGAAGACATTGAAATTTTCACAGCCACGGCCTATCTAATCTGGAAGAGGCGGAACTCCTTTGTTTTTGAGAACAAATTTACAGATCCAGTCTCAGTTGCAAACACGGCTCGACAAAATGTTTTGGACTACAGAAAAGTGAATGCCTTACCGGTCAGAATTCGAAATAGAGGAGACCAAGCTGCCCAACGCTGGGTCGAGCCGCCCTTGAATAAGCATAAAGTAAACTGGGACGCGACGGTAGACTCAGCAAATTGCCGTATTGGAATTGGTGTCGTTGTAAGAGATTGGACTGGAAACATAAAAGCATCCCTGATGTCTCATAGGAATGTTCTCCCGGATGCTTTTCTGGCTGAATCTTTTGNATAAATCCTTTTCGGTTATTTTTGAAGCGTATAAGAATTTAGAATCAATTTCTTAGTTGTTATTTGAAATTTGAAGTACCTTGATGCTTCTCTTCCACGACATCATCTATGAAATCAAAAGTATTGACCATAAAAAATCTCTAATTATTTTAAATTAAATTGGTCTTGATATTCAAAATCTTCATCTATGTTTAAATTATTTTAAATTATAAGTAGGACATACGAAATTTAGCCTATGTTTGATTTCCTTTAAAACAAAATAATTTATTTTTCATACTTATTTTAACTACACATATACATAATAAAATATTTTACACGTAAATTAATTTTTTTATATTTTTTTAACTACACATGTTCCAAAAATTACTATTTAGAACACCATCTTTACACAATAATGATCATCAAACAATGACTTTAAAAAAGCAGCTCTGCTGTGTACAGAAAAATATTGTCAAAATTTTCATATAATACACATGACAGTTTTCTATTAGACAATGCAAAAAAATAAAAATAAATAAAAGACCAATCAGATGCCGCCATAGCAACATTTGGTGAAATTCTGGCAGCACTGCTTCTGTACAAGTAGAGAAATCCTTAAAAAAGAAGCAAGTGTATACTACAATACTTTGTCGATCTTTTGATGTGGAAATGTAATTTTTAAATATTTCTTGTAATCTTTTATGGTTATTTCACTATAATGCGTTTTTAATTGTTCAAGATGGAGCTAAAAGCTGTAATAAGAATGCAATTTTATTTATTTATTTATTTTTTGGGGGGTAAAACACGAAACTATAAAGCTAATTGTGTCAAGGTAAAAAGGATAAAACTTCACAGTTCTTTTTAAGTTTATTAGTATTTAACTCTTTCATGGGTTAGATAGCTTACTTTTAAAAAGGTCTTTATAAAAAATAAAATATCAAATTTAATCTTATTAAAACGACGTCCTCCTATATATATAGGATTACTTGATGTAGTATTCTTACTCAAACGTCTCTCACTATTGAGTATGACCTTCGTTTGCTCCTATCACTAACTTGTTATCTTTCTCTTTACGTTCTCGAATAATCAGCATCTCGATGATTTCTGAAACTATGTCGAGCAAAAAGGGCATGGGAGAGATGCATAAAGAAAGCGAACAAATTGTTTTTAAAATGATTTAGTAAAAAGAAAAAGGAAAAAAAAAAAGAGTAAATGTGTCCTTTCTAAACAAACTATTTGAAGAATAAAGCAACATACGAAAGTGCCAAAACTCTTGAAGAGTGTGATGAATCAACGGGAAAGGAAGGGTAAAAACAAAGTAGATACAAACAAGATCAAAACTATCAGCCAGTGGAAATAATTATAAAACAAAGAAATGATTTCTTTGGCTTTAAGCTGTCAGCTTGATTAATACTTTTTTTAAGGAGGACATCAAGCATATAATATTTTTTTTTTTTCCTCATTTCCTATTTAACTAGCCTAGATATCTCAAATCACCTGCTACAGGTAATCTTCTTAACAATGTTAACTTTTGAGATGCAATTCCAAAACTCAATATATATCAGAGCGGAAAATCTTCGAACAAGCACAGAAACTTAAGATTGTTGTTTTCAAACGAAACATCTAACCATGATACGTTACAAGTAATTGACATATTTTAAGATGAAACGTAAAACTTAACATTAAAATCCACCCTATTTATCCGTGTAATCTAACTTTATTTTGTGAGATTTATATATTAAACAAATATCATATGTCCTACTTAAAATTCACACGTAATTTCAATAGATTTAGTAATCACATAGTTTCGAAGCATTTTATAGATAAGGAGTTTGACGATGGTTTTCGAAGTGGCATACTTTGGTTGCTATGTCGTGGGTATTTTTAAGGATTAAACCATTTTTTTTTAACAACGTTGATCTTTTAAAATGAAATCCTAGAAATCAATTATTATATGCCTCATTTCTTTTAGGGACTGTGACGATGATTTCGGAAGTGGCATATTTTGATTATATTGTCATCGAAGTTTTTAAGAATTTTGGGATCACTGCTGATTTTACCAAACCATATGAATATAAATTATCTCATGAAATAAATTGTATGGAATGTAATTAAGCACCCTAATAGTGAAATATAATAAGATGTTTGCAAGCTAATAAGTGGTAACATGGAGGACTATCATTTGTTCAAAGAAAGCTTTTGAAGAGTGGGTCCCATTCTATTATCGGATCTTTATAGTTAATTAATCTGGATGGCTTGGAATATTAGCTGTGACTAATATTAATTTTAGATTCGTTTTGTACATTATTATACTTCTTTAGTAAATTATATACACTAATACCATGTTTGGCCT